TCATCAGCATTGACTCATTGCCTGCTGGTGCTTATGGTGGCTCTTCAATGGGTCAAAACTCACGCATCCTTTCCCACTTTAAGAGTTGTTGAAGTGATTATTAATTTTCAACATCAAATGATAAAGACAAAAGTAAGAAGCATGTAAATGTGCTTATATTTTATGGTACTTGGATTTACATTTAAAATCAGTGCCTAATAGAGCAACAAGTGTGTTGAGATGACATTCCAATTTTAAAGGGTATTTCTTCTTTAGGGTAACAACTATTCAAAGAAGGAATATAATTTTCACAGTATTTTTAAATATCTGATGACCAATAAGATTGAATATCATAATGTAGACCTTTTCTTCTCTCATATACATTGGTTATAGTATAGATTAAAGCATCTCCAAGTATTGTAACATGTAAACTCAAAAATTCAAAAGAATTTCTTTGTTTACTAGAGTCTAATGCTGGTGCTCTTAGTCAGTATACTTCTCCGTATGGCGACACACACACTCACACACACACACACACACACACACACACTATAACACGGTAAGTTCAATATTATATATGCAAGCCACTTTCATTCTGTGGCTATGTGCTGTCCTAAGACCCTAGAGCCCTTCGCAGTCAGCTTTCAGAAAGATGAAGAGAGCATGGAGAAGGCACATACAGTCGTTAAAATTATTGGCCGACAAATGAGGAGCGTCACTCTTACTTGTATTTCATACTCAGATCTCATTTGAGAATCGGTCACATGTCATACCTTGACACAAAGCCTGAGAAATGTGGCCTTTTGATGAAGAGTCGCTTTTTGCACCCAGCTCTGTACCGTGGAAGGGGAGAACGAATGTTGATAGACGGAAAGCCACTTCTGCCTCAGCCCGTGTGTGTTAGATGGAAAGGCTCTTAACTTCCATTCTCTCAAAGGCTCAACATTTAGTTCTCTCGTCCACACCCCGACAGTTAGTGTAAAGTATACCTGAGTTTTGAAAGGATTTGGCTATTGGAAAATGTTCCTAATATATTGTCAAGACTCTCCTATGCTTCAGTATCCTGGTCATATGCTAAATTTTGTCTGTCTTTAAAAACGTGGACCTAGAACCACAGGTAGTACTCATTGCTTAGTGTTTGTTATGGTTAGGTGAGTGTCATAATTTTCCTCCCTGGTTTAGGATCTTACACTTTCGTTAATACAATACTAGCTTGCCTTCTGTGTTTGGAGCTCTGGCAACCCGAGTTCACCTTGAGCTGTGACCCACAAGTCTTTCATATGAATTCTGCCCCATGTGGTGACCCTGTTACTTTCGCATGTTTACCAGGTGCTTGATTCTTCCGGTTAACATATTCACCGCCTGACCTCCACCTCTGTGGCCAAAGCAGTTCTGACATTTTCAGCAGCTCTTTTCTTACCTTTAGGAGAGGTATTTATTCACCATAAATAAGCGCGCTGTGAAGAGTGGCTGGGGCTGCATATTATTAATTTTCCGTATTTAACTTCATTATTTCCATTGTTTGATATTGTTCTTCCAGTTTTCATAATGATGCTTCAACATGATTTTATCTATAGGCCTACTTTAATTTAGAATAACTGAGTGATATAAATTTCATTTTTATGTTTGCTTTTGTTATTTTATTGTTATAATTTTAAAAAGTGAAATTTATTTTTATGACTTTATAAATGGTTCATGATTATTGCAATATGAATACATAGGGCAAGGAAAAGGAAGTAAAAGTTACCTAAAATCTCAATACCTAGAAATAAGTATTTTTAGTATTTTGACCACCAATCTTTTGTAAATTCTATCTATACACGTATACACGTAACACACTCACACGGATACAATTATGACAATATTATCTGCATCACTTTTATCAGTGAGCTTTTTCTCAGGGATGGTATCTTTGCTGTTGTTAACGATGAGGAGCCTACTTACTCCTATTCTCTTTTTGTTGGTCTGGTAGACTCCAGTTACTTTCCTGCTCTAAATAATATTGCAATAAATATTTCTGTACAGGATTTCTTTCCTCCAAGTGCTTTTTTGTCAATGGGATTGAAGCCTCGTTTGGAATTAGTCTGTCTGCTAGTTTCAGTTTCAACTCTTGTTTGTTTTGATGGTTCTCTAGGACTGTGCAGATCAGATCCCACATTCTTTTTTCTCGATAAATTTATTTTATGCAGGAGAGTTTGGGCACTAGCTTTTTATTAGAATGTGTACATTTTCCTTCTATGCATTTATTCAGTTTAGTCCCTGGTAAATGGATGTAAAAGATGACTTTCCATTGGAGATCTTACTTTTTATCAAACTTTACATATTACAGTCTTGTAGAAACTTTTTTTAAGGATCATGAAACTTATTCCACATGGCACAGTCTTGTCCAAAAAAATCTTTCTTTCAAAGTCTTATTTAAATTTAAGTATCTGATCTTTCAAGACCTATTAAAACAATGTCAGATCAAAGAAAAGGCCGTTAGTTTGATAACTAGCTTTTAGTAAATCTATGCTAATTACCAATCTCTTTTTGAAAATGTTCTCAAACATCTTATTTGCAATTTATTTTATGATTTTACAGAGATTGCTATCTCCTTAATTATTTCATAGTTTTTGTAGCATACCATTTCTATCTGCAAAAAAACATGTGTATTATCCCTCTTTGCTCCTGCATACTGTATTTTGGCCTGATTTCTCAAATGTTACTGAGAACATATGTGAGATGTGTTCTGGAAATGACAGTGTTGCTGAGTTCATCACTCACAATTTGCTTTTACTGGCACCATCCATTTGTTTGTATTGAATGCCTAGCCTACTATAGGCAGGTACTTGGGAAGACATTAGGACCATAATGGTGGGTGAAATAGACATACTACTTCATCCTGTGGAACTTGCAGTTTAGTGAGGTGCCAACTATTCAAGAAATATATTTACAAACAAATACAAGGTTACAACCTAGATGAGTGGCAGGGGAGGTATGGTGAGTGGCATGGCTACACATGGAGATTCACTGGCTACATTGATCAAGGGGAAGCCTTCAGGAAGGTTTCCCTGAGAGAGGGTTGAGCTGAGAGCTCTCGGATAAGGGAAGAACATGTGAAAAGGGCTGTGATAGGAAGGACCATGTCACAGTTGACAAAGTCTCAGAATGCCAGGTCAAGGGTTTTGGTCCTTATCTTGACAAAAGTGAAGTGTCAGTACACAGTGGAGGGACTTCCCTGGTGGTCCAGTGGTTAAGAATCTGCCTTCCAATGCAGGGGATGTGGGTTCAATCCCGCATGCTGCAGCTAAGACCCAAAGCAGCCAAAAACAAATACATAACTATTTTTTTAAAAAAGGAAATGCTTTAAAAAAATACACAGTGGAGTGATGTGATGATGTGCATTTAGAAAGAATCTCTGTAGTTGTAATTTGGAGAAAAACTGTAGAAGGCAAAAGGAGGTTTAGGGTTCCAGTTGCAGGCTTTTGCAAGAGTCCAGTTGCAAAAAATGATTAATTTAGGTTAAGGTGGCTGTGGTAGTGGAGATGAAGAGAGGTAGGTACATTCTACAGATATTTGGTGGGAAGAATTGAAAAGGTTTGGTGACTCATGTATTAAGTATTTACAAATAGAGGAGAGGAAAGCATCTAAGATGATGCCTAAGTCTTCGGCTAACCAAACACAATGGAATTTGGTTCCATTTACTGAGATGCGAAAACCTGAAAGGACCTGTTTTGGTGAGAAAGGTCACGGGTTTGTTTTGGAGCAACTGAAGATGTTAATCACCCAGGTAGATGTTACATTCTAGAATCACAAAGAGTACTTTAGTCTAATATGCTTGGTAATTTCTTTGAATAGTTTTCTAAAGTTTGCAATTCTCTTTAAAACAAGAATTTTAAAGAGTTTCTTGCCCTTTATTTTTGTTTAACATATTATGAAAAAGAAAATGATTCAAAGATTTAAAAATACACAGTCTTTTATGGGATTCCTCGAATACTTCCTAACTCTAGTGAGTAGGCTTTGTTCTGCTTTGTATGTTTTTTATTTGCATATTTTGGGCAGTGTAATACAGCTATTTTCATCTTTTCCTAAGTAGAGTGTATTGCTGTGAATGACTAGTATTTGAATCAACTGTACACCAAATGATGTAGGTAAGGGTGAGGTATAAACAGTGAGAAATTATAACTAGTAGGACATTAGAATGTATGGTGTTCTTTGCAGACTATAAACAATTTTTAACGTCAGAGATAATAGGATTTTTAAGAGACATTTAAGGACAATTACTCCTTGTCCTGCATAATGGTTTTTTTTTTTTTTGCGGTATGCGGGCCTCTCACTGTCGTGGCCTCTCCCGTTGCGGAGCACAGGCTCCGGATGCGCAGGCTCAGCGGCCATGGCTCACGGGCCCAGCCGCTCCGCAGCATGTGGGATCTTCCCGGACCGGGGAACGAACCCGTGTCCCCTGCATCGGCAGGCGGACCCTCAACCACTGCGCCGCCAGGGAAGCCCCTGCATAATGTTTTATGCTAACCTCAGTCACAGGTTTTTGGGTGATATATTAAATATTTTATAAAGATTCAAATCTGAATATAAATGTGCTCTGCAATCTGAGTCACTGACTTTCTTCTGATTATTTCAACTGTTGAATGTGTGTTGCCGATATATTGTGTTAAAAATAACAAAGTCCTAGAGTTTATGGAAGAGCCTTAAGTGGCTTTTCAATGGAGAGTTGATTAGCAGGTGGTTTGAGTTTTTCTACCCTTGCCATCCTCACTCCTTAAATAAGGGCCCGTTGTCTTTTCTTACATGATTAACATGAGACGGAAAACAAAATTAAAAAGGGTTTTTTTTTCCTGGAACAGAGACGAGTATTACCAAAAAGAAAATTGAAGCAATGTAAGATTTTTTTTCTAATTTTGGTTATGGTATTTTATTGTTTTTTTATGGTAACAACATTTAAATATTTCCAACTTTAGTGAAAATGTGAAAATGAATGCTTTTTTCATTAAAAAAAAACTAATGTCTTATTATTCTTTTCATAGGTCTCATATCTTTTGGGTGAACAGAAGTCTACCTTTATGGGGCTTACAGGTTATGTACAATTTTGTTGTATTCCTATATTTCTGGATTTATTTATATTTTACTGAGCAATACTACCGGGGAGAAAAGTTTTGACATTAAAAATGAGTTTTCGTTTATTGTTTAATTAATCTTGATGCACATCTTAAAATTTTTATTCCTTTCTTCATGTCTACGTGAGCCCTCCATTCTACCTTTTGAGAATTTCCTCATGATCAGGTTTAGACTTCAGAAAGCTTTTGAGGATCTGAAGGAAACTAAAGTAAACCCAACCTTGTTTGAAGGCACAACAAGTTCCCCAAACTACTTTAGGCATTCCTAAAGTCTTAGGTTATATCATCTTTGAAAAATTAATCAAAAGCCCATAACCATGTTTGCATTTTTTGCCTTATGTGCTCAATGTTGGGAACATGGTAGAATCTCAATAAATAATTGTTAAATGAATAAACAAATGAACAAACAGTTCGTATTACCAATAGGAAGAGCTTGGTCCCTAAGCAGATAATTTTGTAAATAAAACAAAAAGTGTGCCCTGGCATAAAAGGAGTCTTGAAGAAGGAGTAAGGGAACCTGTGGAGCACAGTGTGTCTGAACTACATTGTTGCGGTGTTCCCTGGAGTCCTCTGGATCTATCTTTGTTCCTTTTTTGGTTGAATTTCATGCCAGGCAAACTTTTTACAACTTCCCATCTCCTCTACTCGTGTCTCTGCAGATACTTTTTAGTTTCTATTGTTTTTCAAAAGCAAAAATCATTCAAAGAGGAGAGTCTCTAAGATTAAAAACAGTTGAGTCTGGAAGAAATGGAAGGACTCAAGTCTCACTGTGTATAAACAACCTTTAAAATACTTTAAAATCAAATGTTTGGGTTGTCTTTTAAAGTCAGGTTGATTGTGAGGTCTGTACATTTTATATGTGACAATGAATTATTTTAATTATGTATGCATTGTGATTACAACTATGAATCAAGTCTTTACTATGTCTGCATATTTTGTATTTTATTGAAGTCAAGTTGTGTTTTATGTTTTTTTTTTACTGACTTTCATTTCAGTGCCGTACACACTTGTAAAGTAAGTTAATATTTTTATGAATAGTTATATATGACCTTGAAATATATTTTGATCTGTTCAAATTGCTTTTTATCTGATAGTGATATTCTAAAATAATAAAAACACTCATTTTCACATAGGATTTTGGGCAATTCATGCTAAAAGTGGTCTCAAGATCATCTAACAATGTGTACCTCTAGAAAAAGTAAGAGATTATGATTTAGAGAATTTGTGGAGAAAATTGAAAAAGTGAAAAATTTCTATTTTACTATCTGTCTACTGTATGTACTTCTGGACTTATTTTACTTAGATTGTCATGCATTCATATGTTTTAAAATTCTCCTTATATTTTACCTAAATCAAAGTTTTCATTCCAACAGGAGTCAGAATCTAAAACTCTATGGTATCTGCCTTTCTCATGCAGATTGACTGTACTCTCACAAATCTATGAACAAATATATTTGTTATCTCAGTTATTTCATGTTGATGATTGCTTATTTTGATTATATTCCTGTCTCCTGAAGTGCTTAGGGTCTTTAACACAAAATAATTAGGATGTCTTTACTGGTTACTTTTTCTGTTGCAATCATAGCTCTTTGGTAGCTGAGCAGAGGAAACTGTATAAAGAGTAGAGAATAGAGAGAAAAGTGGAAGCTTGTCTAGGGGGCTGCAGGATGCCCATGTCCAGCGGCAGAAGGGGAATTGGCTGTGAAGTCCATTCAGATAAAATCTGAAAGTATCTTGAAGTGCTGACATGGACTATTTTGTTTAGTGTTTGAGGATGTTTCATTTTGTTTGAAGTGGGTGATAGGATGGAAAGTATCCTTTAACTCCAAGCTTGTATTCTTTTATTTTCTGAAGGGAACTGCCATTTTTGGTGGGTGTACTGAGATGGTGGTGGTGTGGCTGGGGGAGAGCATTATTTGTGATGGGACAGTTGTGTGTATTAAGAATACACACACAAACAAAACCTATTCTTTACATATGGTGAAGATTCCAGCCATCTGACTGTTCCAATCCCACATTTACATTTGTGGTAATAAACTTAAAAAGATTTATTGAGGAGTATTAGAAATTATAAAAACTAAGCTGTAGTGCCTGGGACAGCCTGCTGCCTACCACGTGTATATAGAAATTAAAGTGCCACATAGCACCTCCTATATCATATATATATATATATATATATATATATATATACATATCATATATGATATATATATATAAGTATATATGCATATACACACATATATGCACATATTTATAAAGTTAAAAGTATTGTAATCAGAATATATATTTTGATTTTGTTGGATTTTCTCATTAAGGTATAATTTATATTTTAGGTTTCAGTGGCATTGATAAGTCTCTTTGAAACAATACTACTTGGTTATCTCAGTTATAAGGTAAGTTATTTTAATTAGAAGTTTTCTGCTGGTAGAACACATTACTAGCATTGACCCAGTATTCCTCTATTTATAATTCATACTCTGGGGATAAAGCAAGCTCTTCTTAAACCCCTTTAACTATTTTGAACCTCTCCAGTATGTGATAAAAAGCTGTGGTAACACAGTAATGTTTTCCTTGGTGGCTTAAACATACTTCGCTAATTCCCATGGGCTAATTTACCCATTACGTGCATGCTCATATGAGACAAGCAGATGGAATGGTTTGGCTTTTTATTGTTCTCCATCTCTTTTCCTGATCTGTACAGGAAACACTGAGGGAGAAAAACATGTCTGTTAGGAATTATTTTAATGAATTCCCTTCAGTTTTGGCGAAGGTTTGCTTGGCTAACCCAATTTAACAAATGTTTATTTTGATGAAGAGCACCACACTGTGCATTGTTTTTTTCTCAATGAATTTACAATCTAGAAAGGGGGGTGGGCAGGAGAGAATTATATAGACAATAATAATACAAGGCTGAATAATAGGTACTTCCTATGAGGTGCAAATAAAGTCCTGTGGGGCTTCATAGAGAGAGGTGAAAAGACTGATTTAAGCAGAATCCTTGAATCAGTAACTTCACTAAAGAAAGATGAAAAGGCAGAACATCAGGGATTTATAGAATCAGCAAAGGCATAAAAGAAGGAATGTGCATATAAAATTGGAAGAATGAATAAGTACTTAGGTTTGGGCAGAGTATGGCATATGTAGGAAAATATTGGTGGAAAAAGATGGGACAATATAGTGAGGGCCTTGTACGGCAACTTACAGTGGGAAGTTGATGCAGGATGTTGAACACGAGAGTTCTATAATTGTAATTAAGTTTTAGGAGTATTAGTTCAGAACATCTGTGCAGCACAGGTCAAAGAGACATGACACTGAAAACTACATGCTCAGTTAAGATGCATTTGCAGTATGAAAGGAAAACTTCGAGTGAAGCTTTGGCTGGGTGAAAGGAATACATTCAATGCAAGATAAGTCATGAAGGTAGAAACTAAAGAAATCATCAACTGATTAGTTGAAATAGATGAGGAGAAGAAAATGTCAAAAATCACTTTAAGATTTCCTAAATCCAAATGACTGGGAACAAGGCAGTAAAACCAAGAAAAGTTACATCAAGAAAAAAATCAGACTGGGGTCGAGATAGGTGGAATAATGGAAATGGTTTTGGAAATGATGAATCTGAGGTATTTTTGGACAAATAGCTGTGACATGCAGGCAATTGAAAAGGAGGATCTGGGACTTGCAGGAGAGATTTATTAAGAATTGACAGTCATTTCCATAGAGATGATGAAGGAAGCATGCAAGTCCATTAAGGATGGGATAGTAGCCAATGGAGAAGAGAAGGCCCACGTTAATGAAGATGCTTATAGTGTGTCCATAGGAAGAACCGAGCAATGAGGACAGACAGAGGGATAGGTGAGAAGCGTGGAAAGTCATCAGAATGGTTGTCATAGTCATCACGGATTTCCAGTTCGCAGTTTCTGCATGTACGACGTCAACAAGTGCACTCAAGGTTCTGTTTTGGGGGAATTCTTATCTACCATATAAATTTCTTTCTCACTTCATAACGTAAGGTTTTGAAGATAACATTCCCTAGACTACTTTTTAATCCAAAATTTAGGGCAAGAAGTCTTTACAAACTCTTTCACCTTTTCCGCTGGCTTCCTTTTTAAAACTCTCATTAACTCCGCCTAAAGAACATAAGGCCAGTGTCTAATAAGGTGAGATTGATGAATTAGAAAGTGTAGAAAGAAAAGATTGAGTGCCTTCCAAAAATAATACAGTTGGATTGATTTAATATTTATGAGAAAAATAGGATGTTAGAAATGTCTAGGGAAGAAAAGTGTTAAATGAAAGCATGGGAACCTTGGAAAGTTTAGTAAGAAGCTTGAGAAAGGCTTTTGGGTTTACAATTTGGGAGATCATTTGTTATTCACCCTTAAGAGCCCAATTTCAATGGAATACAGTTGAGAGTAAAATTGTCAAATGAAGAATGTTGATTGACTGGTACAGGAGCTCCCTAGAGGCAATATAATGAGGTGGAAGATTACCTCGCGATGATAAAAATATGCATCTTTTAAAGAGAGCAAGTAGAGGGGACAGGAAAAAATGATGGATGAAGCAAGGTTTATAAAAAGTAAGAATAAGCTAGAACAGGAAGTTGAGAACTACTAAGTAGCTTTGGATACATTCTGTTCTTTTCTGAGAGCACAGGAGATGGAAAATGGTGTCTGAAAGAATATTTTGAAGTTAGAGGAGGAAGCTGAAAGATCTTGCACATAGCTGGTCACTTAATCCTAAATTACTTAGAAAATACTAGCGTAGTGATGGACACTATAGAATAAGATGTTGAGGAGGGATCTTTTAATGGCTTATTAGTATATCTGCTTGTCAGAATAGGTGCTCTATAAATATGTACTGATTGACAAATCTGGATTTTGGATACCTAGAAGAATAAAATAAAAATCAAGTAAATTAACATCCAAGATGTTATCTTCTAAGGTCTTTAGTATTCAAGTATGTGATAAATGTTGAATATGATACGCAAAAAGTGACATACTAAAAAATTAGGCATGTGGGTGTTTTTTTGTAATTTAATGAAATCTCTTCCACTAGTACAAGAGTATGTACGAATGCATAAACTGGCCAAAATATTAATCTGCATTGGTGAATGTATGTGCTCCAAATTCAAACTAAAAAGTAATATGAAATTAACTTTGGTGCTTTGCTAATAGCAGTCATTTAAAAAGCACGAAGAGATTCAACATGGAATTATAATTTTCCATTGTAATTATGTGGTGCTGACATTTGTAATCAATTAATTCCTGCCATTTATAAAATGAGAGCAAAGACCTAGCAGGTAGAGCTAGATGACATATAATATTTTCATTCTGACCTTCATAAATATTAATGTCTAGATGGAGGAGAGGTTCATGGTGAGAGTCCTGTGTGTTACAACACAAAAGATAAAAAGGAGTTATGTGACATTGGAAGGACAGGTTGCTGTTAATTACCTTCTTTTCCTTTCATATATTCAGTCAAATTCATGAACTCTTCTGACCCTTTCAATAAACTGTTGGATACATTTTTTGGAATGAAAAAATTAAATAATTGATAACTATTTATGGCATATATATAATGCAAATCCATACAGCAGAACTTCAAATGAGGTCCTTCTCTCAAATTAGACTTTTAAGAAAAATTATAGATAGGTATGCAGAAATGGATATTGTATTAGTAATGAAATCCATTTCTAATATTGCTCTTTGATATTTCTAGTTCTGAAATATCAATAGCAAATCAACATACAATTTTCTCATGTTTGTTTACATCTGCATATATATATACAGATAATGTATATATTTACGTATACAACATATATGTATATATGTGATATTTTAAAATAAATTTAATACTTTATTTGTAAGTACTTTATAGTTCTTAAAATTGGACTTTCTAAAATAAGCATGACTTAATCCTTAACAATTAAAAACGTTTAAACTATCATGGAAACTATAGTTTTTTTTTAAATCAAAAGACTAATGAGTAAAAGCAAAATGAGCAAAAACTCTTAAAAGTGTATGTTGAGGTTAGCAAATAATAACTTACAAATCCCTGACATCCACTTATTTTGTCCTCTGTCATACAGAATTGCAGGTCTGAAGTTAAATCATCATTCAATTCATGTTTATTTATCACTGTTTGTCAAAATAGTCGCAGGGATTGCCCAACAGGGAAGTTCTTATTCTTCTGTCAGATAGATACCCTCTATGTCTTTATCAGCTGCTTTCAAAATAGAACTCTGTTTATACACATACATTCATTAACTCAAAAGGAAACAAAAACACACCCTGGCATAATTTCCAAATCTCTGAAAACAAAAGTTCAGCACACCTAGAAGGCTTTGGTTAAATCTACAATTCTTTTTTCTATACAGTAATCGCTTTATGAAAAAGCAACAGTTTTGAAATGTTAACATCATGATGGGCTTATTTCTGGAAAGAACAAAGGATTTGGACTAGGACGCCTAGATCCTGGTGATTCCGCTTACCATGCCATGGAAATGGTAAATCTAAATGTTGTTGAGTTTACATTCAGAAATACAAAAGACTGCCATAGGGTTACTCCATAATTTAAACTCACTGAAGGAAAGTAAGTTATTAGTCTTTTTGGTTAAATATTTTAAATATAGGTATTCTTAATATTATAGAAGAAAATGCTTTTTAAAAGTCCCATGTTCCATCCTGGGCTAACAACTAAATTACCATAAATCTTATAATTTTTAAAGTGCTTTTTAGAGTTACCTAGATAATAGTTCCAAACTTGCACTTTCTTTTATGATAAAAATAAAAGCCTGGTACATCTTAGAAAATCACCTGTTGTCCTGCATTTTTATTGGTTAAGGAAGGTTACATCCATACCAAATGTTGTAGAATGGTTAGATTAGGTTTTATTTATATTTTACTGAATTCTGTCAATAAGGAGAGGAACACAGAGAGCTCTACACGCTTAGAACAGAAAAACCTACTTTTTAGAAACTTTTTTTTCTTTAGGTTACCATTTGGAAGGAGACTAATGCCTTTCATCTCATTCAGGAAAATAAGATTAAGTGAAACAGGTATTTAACTTAATTTTGAAAGGCATGTGCCTGCCTTTTGGATCTTATTTCATGCTTCTCTATGTAGCCGCAGTCTCCAGATTTAGGCTTTCTTTTTCCACCATAATTACTTTTATCATGTGGATTTATATGATGCAGGCCCATGGGGACTCTCTAATAGCAAATGCAACTTTTGGATAATTTTTCTATCTATTTTTCATCAGCTTATCTTAGGGGAGATAATTTATGAATGTTCAGAAGACAACCTGAGATCTTAGAATTAAACCTAATGAATATAATCGAAAAGTTATTCGCTTATTTTTAGCAGTGAGTACATTGCCTCCCTGTATAATTTTATATTGTGAAAATTAGTCCTCAGGGGGAAATTCCTTATTTGCTACAACACACAAATACACACACATTAGCTATGAATCCACAGGAGCGTGTTTGACATAATGCAGTTCTAGTTTTTATTGAGGAGCTTCAGGCTGTCAAGGACTGTGCTAGGAACAGAGCAAAGAATCCCGAACTAAACAGATGCTCTCACCTGGACCTCATGACATTAAAATCAAGTGTTGATTAAATATATAAAAACAAACAAAAAAAGGAATGAGAAGGATGTTGATGAAGATAGAAAAACCTAGTGTGGGAATCTGATCTTGTCTGGTGTGTGTGCAATGAGGGGGCAAGGAAAGCCTCAAAACACTCAAAAGATTTTGAGTTAAGAGCTGAAAGATGTGTGTGAATTAACTAGACAAAGGGAAATTGGAAAGGAAGGTGGAGATTTTCCAAGTCTCTTAAAAAGCACGTGCCAAGGCCCTGGCATATATAAGGAGTGGAAGGTCTTAGGAAAGAATGATCTTTAAAATTCGGGGGGAGAGGACAAGGAGAGCTAAACGATATGTTGCCTTTTGTAGGTTGTAATAGAATCTGTGTTTCGCTGTGCAAGTGTCTGAATTGTTCAAGAGTTACAAAGTGAATGGGGGTGGCGTGGGGTGAGGGGTAGGGATTGGCACATGAGATGTGCCTTAGAAACGTATTCCTGGTAACATTGTGGGAGGTGAATGGGAATGGGGCAAGAAGGAAGGGGAGGAGACCAGTTAGGAGGCTGGAGTGGGATTAGCATTAGAATGAGAACCAGAGGACTCAAGGTCCATATATGAATCAGGAAGTCTTATTGTCAAATTATTCTTGTTTAGCATGTGAAAGGAAGGTGTAAAGAGTTTCTCCAGAACTTTTGGTTTCTGTTACTGGAGAACCAGTCAGGGCAAACATCATAAATTTTACTTTTAGGTAGTCTATTTTATTGGCATAGAGTTGCTTGTTAGTCTCTTATGATCCTTTGTATTTCTGTGGTGTCTGTTGTAACTTCTCTTTTTTCATTTCTAATTTTATTGATTTGAATCCTCTCCCTTTTTTTCTTGATGAGTCTGAGTCATCAAGATGAGTCATCTCTATTTCATTTATTTCGATCTTTATGATTTCTTTCCTTCTACTATCTTTGGGTTTTGTTTGTTCTTCTTTCTCTACTTGCTTTAGGTATAAGGATAGGTTGTTTATTTGAGATTTTTCTTGTTTCTTGAGGTAGGATTGTATTGCTATAAACTTCCCTCTTAGAAATGCTTTTTCTGCATCCCATAGGTTTCGGATTGTCTTGTTTTCATTGTCGTTTAAATTTTACTTTTAGACATATTACCCACAGGGTGCCTTTGAGGCATCTGTGTGAAGCAGTGGATTAGGCAGTGGAGACCTGAAAGAGATTCTCAGATAGAATATTGATCTGAGCTAGAGATACAACATTGGAAAGCATTGGTTTATTATTGACGATATGTTGAAGTTGACACATAGATGAGATTACCTAAGATGGGTATATAGCCAAGTATTCTTGAAATGCTTTCTTCCAGAAAACCTGTTGAGCTTTGTGGCCATAAGTTTAACAACTTATTTATAATTGCACTAGGAAGGCTTTAAACACTAATATTCTTTCAGGGGTTTCCATTTGGATCCAATAGAAAGAAATATAAATGTTTAAGGTCAAAAATTAATTATACCAAGAAGGGAAGAATATGTATAAGATATTAGAAAGTTTCATCTATTCATTAACATGCTTATTGAGTCCAAATGTCCTATAAACAAATAAGTTTTATAAAATGTTACAAAGATATATCCAGGTAGTTAGTGGTGAAGGTATGGGGACTGAGACATTCCAAGCAGAGGGAGAAGTATGTGAGCAAAGTTGTAAAAGTATGAAACAGTGTAGTGTGTTCAGAGAACTGCATCAAAATCAGTTTTACATGTGATGAATCTGTAGCTGAATTCAAGGCGGGCTAGGAATGTAGTAGGTACAAACCAAACCAGTAGCCAGAGTCCAAGTTATGAAACTTCATATGATGTAATGAGGAGTTTGGATGTTAATATGATGGCAATGGAAATTTGGAATTTTAGAAATAATTCTCTGGCTTTAATATGGAAGGTAAATCAGAAGTGAACCCAACCAAGTCACATACCAGTCATGAGATGCTTTTACTGGTTTGAGAAAAAATCACAAAAATCAAATTGGTGTGTTATAAATGGAAATGAAGAGGGACATTAGAGATAGAAAGGCTTTTGGTTTACTATGAGCTAAACTTTCCAGTGTGCCACAGCTAAGAAAACTAACTAATCTTGCTGTGTATTCGTAGAAAGATCCTGCCGTACGACCAGTGGTAACTGTACTCATACCCCTCCCCACTCTACCCTGCCGTCTTCTTCTGGTCACATCGGTCTCTTTTCTTGTGCAGAATCATTGACATCAAGGAACAATGTACAATGACAAGTAAAAACACAGTAGGGAGAGAGTAAGCCAAGTGTTAAGCATTCTGGAAACTGAGTCATGTAAAAAACTGATGAAAGAAATGGTAATGTTAACCTGCACAATAAAAAATAGGAGCTTCACCTAATTAAAATCAATTATAAATGGTTTGTTGAATAGGTAGGCCTGACTCAGTGCAAGTAGGTAAAGGCTTTAGTTTTCCTGCATTTCTCCTTCAAATCCAGTCATTGTCCTTATGAGCCATGCTCATCAGATGAAGTCTTGGGCAGGTATCTTAGCTTTTTTAGACTTTTCAATCGCAATGCAAATCTCAGTTTAGTACTTAAGAAATTATGATCAGTATGTAAAAATTTAAAATTCTTATCCAGTTTTAGCTTTTTCTTGGCTTGGAACCACATGGGGCAGGGGATCATCTTGGTGGCTATTTCCTCTTTCCCCCTCCTCCCTTATTTGATACCAGCTGATCTTGGTCCCTCAGGGCTGAGGAGGCATGGGGAGAAGTGAGGTCAGCTTCTGGGACGAAGTTGCCTTACTGGCACAAGAACAGTCTGCGGTTGGGTTGCTCTGATGGCAGGTCCAAACGGGGCTTTTGTGGTTCTCCTGAGGCCTTTGGCCAAAGCTCCTTGATGCCTCAAGCCTCAGGCTGGCCACTAGGGCTCTGACCCAGGCCCTGGGGTCCTGAGGGCCACCATCTCTCACGGTTCCATGTCCCCTTAGGAACACAGCCCTCCTGAGTGTGAACTTAGAATGGCCATAAGTTTCATTCTTTAGGGTCTATATCTCATCCGCAGAAAATAAGTACCCCTTAGGATTGGCATAAGTGTGGCCTGTTCTCATCTCAACCCTCTTTGTCTTTGCTCTGCTGTTTTTTGATGATGTTCTAAGCATTCGCCAAATGCAGCCCCCATGTCTGAGCACAGCTGTCTGGGTCGTTCACCCGAGCTCTCCTTCCTGAGCTGGATGTGGTGAGGGAAGTAACACAGCACCCTTGTATCTCTACACAGAGGAGGTCTCATTGCTTCTGTTTCTTCCACCTGCTCCCTCCTCCACTCTTTATACAGCTTGCAGACGGGTGATGAACTAATGATAACAAAACCTCTTTAGCACACAGACGATTGCTGATCTAGAACTTGCCTTGTGAAGTGGAGGTGTTTTATATCATTGTAATGTTTTAAGGCTTTGGGACCTCAAGAAAAATAAAGAATCCCAATATTATAGCCAGTGTCACAAAATAATTAGACATTACAGGGAGTCAGATTTCAAATTGCCTTACTAATGGGTAGTTCTTGTTTTCGTAGACGAATAAACTGCTGTAGGAAGTTCTGAGTCCTTTTTTGCTAGACACCGTTCAAAAAAGTTTCAGGAATGACCTGTTAGTCAGTGCAGTTGTCCAGAGCTGCACAATTAGAAGGGCCTGTGCTTGTTTTAATGCTCTGATGTCACCTTCTTGAAATTATTCATAATTTGTTAATAAGAGGCCCTGCTAAGAGGCCCTGCATTTTCATTTTGCCCTTAGCCCCACAAAGTAGGTAGCCAGGCCTGATTAACATTGTTGCACTATGTGGGTTGGAAAATTAGAATCCAGAAGATTGAGAAAATCCTCCCTTTAAATTTTATTAATCTAAAAACAATGTTAATTCCAAGGAACATTGTTATATGTTTGTGTTTGCGAACTATTTGATATACTTTAAAGTTTGTGAGTGTAATTATTATAGTAAAAAAATTAAGATTGAGTCGCTTTTTCATTGATTCTGTAAGGTTTTTTAATGTGTTTTATTTTTACTAGTAACTTTTCTTCCATGAAATATGATATGATTAAAATGTGTTATATGCAATATTCAAGGATTACTACAAACATTTGTTTTACTTCTTACACTGACTACAAAATTGAGAGGGCACAATTACATTCAGCAAAATAATCTCTAAAAGTCATTGCTACATTTCTAAATAATGATTTGGTATTCTATTAATATAAGCATCCTTATTGCTAGAGAAATTCTGATGCTGTCTTTTTCCCCCTTTAATGGGATTCAGTTATAATTGACTTTCATTTTTACTCATTCTTTCTTGGAAGGGAAACATCTGGGAACAGATTTTACGAATACCCTTCATCTTGGAAGTAATTAATGCGGTTCCCTTCATTATCTCAGTAAGTCCTAAAAGAATCTTTAAAAGAAATAAGTTTTTTATTAGACATAAAGTCTTTAAATCTAAATAGTAATAGCTAACATATTAGCTCAGATGAATGAATTTAGACTTTGTTATTGTTTTAAATCATGGTATTAAAAAAGAAATAGTAAAATCAGTTGGGTAACTGGATTGTGAAATTAAGTGAAAATTAATGAGATTTAGTACAATTGCAAAATGAAATGCTTTTAGAAATATATACTCTAGAGGTGCCATTTTAACAAGTGTCTATATTTTCTAAACAGACCAGGAATTAATCATTCCATTTCTTGTGTATATTGTGGAATTAAAAAAAAATAGAAACCAAGTAAAACCAAGTATTTATAAAAGTTTCTCATGCTAAGAATATGTTTATCTCGAGCTTAACCACAGGATTTCCTAAGTCCAGTTCTCTTTTTACTAAGAAAGTTGCCATCAGCCAGACAACTAGTAATTTGCTTCTTTATCAAAGTCTGTGGAGGACCAATTCCACAGTGATCCTGTTTTAACTACAAAGTATGTAACTAGCACCTTCCCATTGCAAAATTAGGTCTTAATCTCTATTTGATAAAGTTACAGTAATATCTGTTGGTAATATGCTTTCTAAACTTTATTTCTTTGACTTTTATTTGGAAAATTATGAAAAGAAGTCAATATGATCTGAAGCTGTTGCTCAGTTCTGACAGTTATTTTAATGTGAGTGATTTATCTAGAGGAGCAACTGGCCCCAGATTGAATGACTGGCTAAATTAAACATAATTCCAATGGAGTACAGTTCCCCAATGTCACTAAGAATGTTTGCATCTGCAGAGACTAAGTGGTAATGCTATGAAAAACTAAAGCTCTGTCTCCTTGCATCTACTTTTTACTTTCAGCTGCAGGAAAGAAAGAGGTGATGTCTATTATAAACTGTCACACTAAAAGATTTAGTGATCGAATTAGCACAGTTATAGCTGACATCCAGTGAGGGCTGATTATTTTCATTCTGCTTCTACAATAATTTTCCAAAGAATTTTTCCTTAAGTAAGACTTAGAGAATGAATGAAAAGATCCTGTCTGCTCCTTGCATTTCAATAGTCATATGAGTTTAAAGTATTTGCCACGTGTTTTAGATTATTCTATTGTTTTTAATAACTTATTTCTGTTTCACATTTCTTCTCAATCATATCGATTTCTTGCTTTGAGATAAAAGTTTAGTTTTGATTTGTTTTCCAGATATTCTGGCCTTCCTTAAGAAATCTATTTGTCCCAGTCTTTCTAAACTGTTGGCTTGCCAAACATGCCTTGGAAAATATGATTGTAAGTATAAAAGACAAGTGTAAAGACAAAAATATTTTTCAACACTCCATTATTTCTTACCTCATTAAAGTGATGTGTTGCATAAATGTCTAAGCTAATAGATCCCAAGTCTGCTTATACCCTAATGAGAATGAAAAGTCATAAAATGCCCATATTGCCAAGTCCCTTCCTTCATAAGGCCCTATGAGATGGTAAACAAAAATAGTTCAGATATTCCAAATATCACCAAACCAAAGCTAACTGCTGTTCGGACTGGTCCAACTAGTTAGCCAATTTCCTGAAGACAAACAGCCTTCCCTTCTAAGGCAATCTCTTGATGTATAACGGGACCCCTGGTTTTAAGGCTTCAGTAGGTAACACTGTCAAACTGTTCTTAACTGTAGGTAGTCTCACAGTCCGTAAATATCTATGGGCTTTTGTAAGACCCTATATTGGAGCCAGAAGGCCCTCATGTAAAGTCACCTTTTTAGGCCGGGTTGGGTTGGGAGTAGGATATTAGGAGGGAGAAAGGGAAGCAGGAAAGAAGAGATGCAGAACTCAGAGATGTGCCACAGTTGCGTTTTGCCCAAGGCTGACCCTGTTCAGAAGGACTGATTTATTACTATGACCAAAATCTCTTTGCTATAATAGACTTGGACACTTATCAGTGAGCTTGCTGCTTGGTCATTTATTCTACAGGTGTTAATAGGAGTCCACTCTATGTTAAGTGCTGTGATAAGATAAGCAAATGATTCAACTTCTTTGCTAATGTCTTCCTCTTCACAAGAGAATAAAAGTACCTACATACAGGCTTGCTGTGAGAATTAAATGAAATTATATATACATGCATATATATGTATGTGTAAAATCTTGTATCTGGCATAAACATGGTAAGGGCTCAATATTATTAATTTTATCACACAGAAATTAAATTTGTTTGGAGGCAAACTTGCTTTTCTCTTAAATAGCTTTTTTTTTTTTAACATCTTTATTGGAGTATAATTGCTTTACAATGTAAATAGCTTTTTAACAGAAATTATGACACAAGTTGTGGCCAAAAGGAATATCTGGATAACATTTGAATATTCACAACCAGATGAATATTTCTAAACATCTGTGTTAAGTAACCACTGGAGCCTCATGAAAGTTCACGACTAAGAAGGGGAGACTGTAGCCTGTGGATGGTTTGTGGAAACATCAGTCTGTCTTAACTGTCCAAAAAAATACTATTTCACTAAATATAGATTGCCTAAATTCCTAATGAAAAAAAAAAATACTCCAGGAAAAAAAAATAAACGTCTTTGCTAATTTGCATTTATTAGCTGTTGGAAAAAGTAACCTAACCAAGAGAGGAATTATTAGTCAATCGTTGAGAGTAGAAGTAGTGCTTACATTGTTAATTTAGGATTCATTTTCCATCATAGCTCTATATTTTGCTTCTCCTCTCCCTGGTTGCTAAATTTTAATTTATTTTTCTGTTCATTAACACCTCTGTTAGAAGAAAGTAAGAGATGCGAGGTGAAATTCTAGTCAACTTAGTTTGTTTTTGTTACAGTTTTGGTTAAATATGTGGTAGAGAAAGATAAACTATGGCTCATTGAGACTTTGCTTGTATTGATGAAGTTATTTATCTCATGCAGTCCTGATATGCAGACTGTTAAAATGTTACTATAAAAAATTTATACAACGGGAAACCATAAAATAAAACATTATGCAAAACTACAAACCTTCCACACAGACTAAGCGCTAGTAATAATTTATATTCTTCTAATATTTTCTATGAAAACACACACACACAAAATAGTATGTTTAATTTTATAATTTAATTTTTTTGTCATATAATAGTATGTGGTGGACAGGTTCCTATGTCATTAAATATTCCTGTTCAAACCATTTTTAATGGATGCATCTAAATCTGCTATCTAGTTTTGATCAATTTATTTAACCATTTTTCTATTGCATTTTTAGTTACTTTAATAGTAATGGACATTCATTATTTCACGTAATAAATATTAAAATTTTGTAATAAAGATGAACATACATAAGTATTCAATTTCCATCTCGTAATTTTCATATGGTTAGCTTTTAGAAATTATGTTATGGGGTAAATACTAATTAAATGAATGAATCCATGAAGTAGAAAGGGCATACTTTTGTGAATTTTGACCTGTATTACCAAATTACTTTCAAGAAATTTATAACAAATTACATGAGCAGTATTATATATGAGTGCTTGTTTTTTGCATATTAAATAACAGTGGGTATTATTATTTTCAATGTTTTTCAATTGGAAAATAAAATTATATTTTGAATTCACATTTCTCTTAATATGAATGAAATTAATCTAAAAATGTTCATTGGCTATATAATTTTTTATTTTTATGATAAATCACTTGGCATAATTCATGTTATTTTTCCTGATTCAGAGAATGAGATATGGTTGTAGTTTGATCCAGCTATTAATTTCCCCTTAATTGAACATATTATTTTCTGATCTTTTAAAATTAGAATTTTCCACAAGAGAGCATACTCACCGTGGAGGGCTTTTGGGGAGTCAGTGTAACAACTCTACAGATGTTTGTAAGGCGAGTAAACTAAAATTTGGTGCTTTGGTGGTCTCCCATAGTATTATCTTGGTAATATGAATGTTACAGTAAGGTTATATAGACCAAGGCAAAAACGAAAATATGCTGCTATATACATTTAAAGTATATGTGTTGAGTATGCACAAGATAGTTGAAATGTAATACATAGTAATAAATGTAACAAAACTCCTGAATATGTAATATCTATCAAAATTTAAAATATGCTTGTTCTGTATTATTTCAGAATGATCTACACAGAGCCATTCAGCGTACACAGTCTGCAATGTTTAATCAAGTTTTGATTTTAATATCTACATTACTATGCCTTATCTTCACCTGGTAAGATCATACATATCAGCATTTTTATTATGTTTTGTTTTAATTATAGTTCTACAAAAACATATAATAAACCACTTTAATTAAGATTTGGCTACAGTAAATGAATAGATAAATATTCACCATAAAAAGTAATGGTCACCTATAGAAATAGAAGTAAAATCCTTACTTCGGTCTTAAGGAAAAAAACAAGAAAGCACGTCAACCATTTGGTGTTGATATTTACTGCAGCTCTGAGGTTTTCCTAAATGCTGTAAACAACCAGATCACAAGAATTTGTACTGCAGGCCACAGTTGTCAAACAATAATTTTTCCTTCAAACTGCTGGCATGGGGGTGCCCTCATCTTTCCATAATCTTCAAAGCAGAACTGCTGTTGAGAACACGGTCCCTGCCCATCCCTATCTGCCTGCCCCTCCTCCCCCGATGTTCTCTCAGGCATCCAGGCAGAAAGCGAGGGCAGACAGGACAGTGCGAGGCAACTGGTACGTTGCTTTATTATAGAAAACAGTTTTTTTTTTTTTTTTTTTTATGAACTAGTTTTTTATTTTTTTTAAACATCTTTATTGGAGTATAATTGCTTTACAATGGTGTGTTAGTTTCTGCTGTATAACAAAGTGAATCAGCTATACATATACATATGTTCCCATATCTCCTCCCTCTCCCATCTCCCTCCCACCCTCCCTATCCTACCATTGTAGGTGGTCACAAAGCACCGAGCTGATCTCCCTGTGCCATGCAGCTGCTTCCCACTAGCTATTTTGCATTTGGTAGTGTATATATGTCCATGCCACTCTCTCACTTTGTCACAGCTTACCCTTCCCCCTCCCTGTGTCCTCAAGTCCATTCTCTACATCTGCGTCTTTATTCCTGTCCTGCCCCTAGGTTCTTCATAACCACTTTTTTTTTAGATACCATATATATGTGTTAGCATACGGTATTTGTTTTTCTCTTTCTGACTTACTTCACTCTGTATGACAGACTCTAGGTCCATCCATCTCACTACAAGTAACTCAATTTCGTTTCTTTTTATGGCTGAGTAATATTCCATTGTATATATGTGCCACATCTTTTTATCCATTCCTCTGTCGATGAACACTTAGGTTGCTTCCATGTTCTGACTATTTTGTAAATAGAGCTGCAATGAACATTGTGGTACATGACTCTTTTGGAATTATGGTTTTCTCAGGGTATGTGCCCAGTAGTGGGATTGCTGGTCGTATGGTAGTTCTATTTTTAGTTTTTTAAGGAACCTCCATACTGTTCTCCATAGTGGCTGTATCAATTTACATTCCCACCAAGAGTGCAAGAGGGTTCCCTTTTCTCCACACCCTCTCCAGCGTTCATTGTTTGTAGATTTTTTGATGATGGCCATTCTGACTGGTGTGAGGTGATACCTCATTGTAGTTTTGATTTGCGT